CGACAATCGGGTAGAAGAAAAAGTCTAAGTAAAAACACGCCCGCACGCGGAAGCATATTGTGTCACGCTCGCTACTCGCATATCTATTTAATTATCATATGCTAAAATCACGGCCGTGAATTGTATAAAATAAGTGTAAATCGCGCAAGAAAACTAGGAGTGTACCACGCGAGTGTCAACCTCAAGTACGAAAAGAAGCTCACGGCGTTCTCTAGGTGCGTACCTTCAGTTTTATGTGTCGGTTGCAAATTTCAACGAAATCCAATTCCAACTACCTTTTACAGTCCACTTTATACCAATTTTGAACCACGCGTCACCACTCACATACAAGATAATATCAGTATCTTCAGAGTCTTGTTGATAAAAATGTTATTTAAAACATTGAAGTATAAGTTTAAAGATATTTTTAAAATTTGTAAGTACGCAGTATATACCTACTTCAATGTTTAAAAAATGTTTTTAAACGTACTGTGAATATGAATGTTTTATTAGAAAAACGCTCTTATATGCTTTATGTATTATAAAGTTAATTTATTGTTGCATTTATATCAGTACATTTAGGAGAATGATCTGAAGGTACAAAACAAGCTATAACTGGGTTTGAGAACTGCTTGACTAAGGCGCGATTTTTCATTTTTCATCACTGGTTTAGACATGTCATTTCATACTCACACCCTACATCTAAATAAAACCAGCGCTGATTTTTATTAAGGCCCTGTAGATTTCTTGGGTCTCTATGAAGGAGCTAGAACAAATAGGCTTAAATAGCAAAACTGTAACAGCCATAAGGGCAGATATATATATATATAAGGTATTTATTAAATGTATAATTATTATAAAATAAATTGTTTAAATTATTCAATATAATTATGAATTTGGGAATACCTTGGGCTGCGACCGAGAACTGTGTGTTCTTGAGACAAAAAGAATGTGAAATTCTCTATTTCTTAAATACACACATCAATAGAATACAGGCATACCTTAATCCTAAATTATTTAAGACTTTATAGCTTAAAATCTTTTTCGTTTCCATAAAATGTTTATATACAGATTGAAAACTCTTTGGTCCTATTTTCATTAAAATGTAAATAAAAAATAAAAGAAAAATAAAATTAGCAGGCAAAGTTGTTAGTAATTCGTTACGTCAAGGAAAATTAAAATTGTTCTACTGATATTAATTAATGAAAAGGGATTAGATTGTTGTTCTTTTTTGGTTTAACGTGCCTTGTGAGCTTTAAGAGCCATGTCACGTCGTCATTTGACGTTCGTCGTTACGAGCCGTGGGCATGTTAAAAAATGGTGCTATTCAACGCGTCGTTGCTGAGGCCCTACACAACAGCCAAAATGTGATATCAAGGTTGTGGTTACGTTATCGCAGTACTGAGGATGTGGCTGAACGGTACACGTGGTTATATCGTTTTACTACGCAGAGACAGGATCGATTTCTCCAAATGACCGCCAGAAAACAACCCAAAAACTACTACAAAGACTCCAGGAGGGCCACCAGCTGCTGGTAAGCGACCACGCGGTGCGAAGGAGGTTGCATGAAGTTGGCTACGTGTTCCAGCATGTGACGTGGCAATCGCTGTCGGCAGCTTTCGTGTGCATTTACCATGGTGTGACGATCAATGGTCTTTGGTGGTGTTCACCGATGACTCCCGGTTTGTGTTTCATCCGGATTCACGAAGAACACGCATTTGGAGAACTCTAGGTAGAGTTAGCCGTCTACTTCACCCTCAGAAGGTCCACTCATACCAAGGCGGTACAATCATGGTGCGGGCAGGAATTCGTCTTGGCGGACGAACCAAGCTCGTTTGGATCCAAGGCAGCATGACTGCACAAAAATACCACCTAGTAGACCCTGTTATTGTCCCACACAAAATCCAAATGGGCCAGGAATTTCTACTCATGTACGATAATGCTAAGAGCCGTGGTAGCTCAGATGGTTAGCGCTCGCTGTAAGCTTCACAGTACTCGAGCAACCCGGGTTCAATCCCCGCCGGCACCAATGAAATTATTAATTGCAATTTTAAGTGCTGATTTACCACGTGCTCGGCGGTGAAGAAAAACATCGTGAGGAAACCTGCATGTCTGAGAAACAAGAAATAAATATTTCGGCCAAACCTCCTAAACACATAATAATTCGTCAGTCACATTAAAATTAGTTTGATGCATACATAAAACTTACGTATTTGACATAATTAGGTGAACATTCGTGAAGGTATATTATTTTGGTTGACACATTATTGTAACGTACTTAGATATTGAGTTATTTAGTCATTTATTAAGTAACTTATCCGGATACTCGGATACTATCTACTCTTCCTTATATATTTTTTCACATTTTATATTATTAGTATACAATTATAATACTTTATACTTCATTTATTTATACCTTTATATTTTATTAATCGTTACTTTTATGATCCACACGAATATGTTATACATTAATACTTAACAATTTTTTCAGAAAACGATGACTTGTAAAAGTTAAAAGCATATGATTTATCACCGAAAATATTACATTTCATTTTAAGATGAACAGAACAAAGAACATAATTTAATGCAACCTAATCATGATCATAACAACAGGGATCAAAATACATCTTGCAATCACAGCCGCGTAAGCGGTTTTTGACACATCTTTGTTATAAAGTCCAAAGCACGTATTGAGGAAAGGTTTGCAATTAGATCGTATGACACATAAATAATATCTAATTCAAAATAACTTACAAAATGTTTTAATATGAGTCCACTTAAAAGTATTTGAAGATTACAGTATCACACTTTTTAATGTACGTAGTTAAGATCCTTACATGACATTGTTATAATACATTTAAATTAATAAAAGTGAATATAATATAGTCTTATGCCTCAATAGAAGTACCACATAAGTGTATATGTAACATAATTTATAATAGTGCGTTATAGTTTTTATATAGAAATAAAACTAACAAAATGCTATTGAATCGTTAAGTGTGTGATAAATATTTTCAAATTTATCATATTATATCAAATACAGAATATTTAATAAATAACTTTAAAACAATATATTATAGCAAAATAACACGAAAAATATCAATTATTAAAGTTTTGAATGAAATATCAGTAGATTTAATCTCATCTTCCTTTACTTTACTATTAAACATTTTTATAACCACTTTAAGTTTGGTATCTAAAATTTTTCCCTTCAGGTTAACTCGGTTTTTATTAAATATGATCTAATTTCTTTTAATTTCTCATATAACTGTTCTAAAGAAATATTCCTAACTTACCACCAATACGTAGAATAGAGGACACTTTATATAATTTTACGAAATATATAACATAGTCAGGTGAAATTGCAATTGTTCAGTTCCTGCCTTATTGCTTCCCATTGTATTTTGCACAATCGTGGTCTCTTCTTTAGTCTGATACCGCCCATGTTCTTGGTTGTTACTTTTCGTTAAACGCGTACACCCAGTCACGCAGTTCAAGATAGAACACCATAACTCTTAATTTCTTCTTTGTTCTTTTTTGGCTCAATTTTCACATTTTTCTGGACGAAGCTTGCAAGAGTACAACCGCTTCTTTCCTTTTTAAATAGATCTGCCGTTTCTTGAATTTTGGTCTTTGGTCATGATATTAAAAATCCACAATTTATTCCTCATTCTTCGTTACTCGTCTTCATAGTACTATATATTATATATTTTAAATTTTCCGTCACCTTCTATAAAATAATTATTGTGTTATTGTGGCCTCTTCTCGAATTCATATTTATTTATGATTCGTCACGTCCGGTGTTGTATTCATTGCGCTTGCATGGCCGAACCGCACAGCCTGGCAGGGTCGCCATGTAATGTTTGAACAATGCAATAAATTAAACTCACTGATGCAGTTTAATCACTCTTTCTTTATTGGTTTGGAGGAGACTTATATATAGTGGTTGTGACGTAGGTACATAGGTAGTGGGCAGGGTTTGTGTTACGTGGTTCCAGGTAGAGCCTCATGAATGGTATCTTCTTCCATAAATATAATATGATATTACTGAACTAAATAGATGTTATTTCTACTCCTTATATGGAGTCCACGCTGAGTGATGATATCATTTAATATTCCTGTTATATTGCTTTATCATAGTACCTACACCACAGACATGTGAAGTTCGCCAACACGCGTTGGGGCAGCGCGGCGGACATTTCCTTGCCCTAAAACCCTATCAGAAACGAGAGGAGGCCTGTGCCCAGCAGTGGGACGTAAATAGGCTGCAACTTTACTTTTTTTACGATAATGCTCCTTCCCGTACGGCAATGCTGGTGTCGGCCGCTCTCCGAGACCACGATATGAAATTTTGAATTGGTCTGCACAGTCGCCCGACTTAAATCCTATCGAGCATGCCTGGGACATATTACACGTACAACGAAAAATTTTGAGAGATTTCCAGACAAATTTGACGATAGAACAACAAATTTACGAACACTTGCAAAGAACATGAGACATAATACCGCAGCAAGACATTGACAATTTAATTTTAAGTATAAACAATCGATGTCTATGTGTAATGTAAGAGGTGGCAACACTGATTATTTATAATTAGGTTTTATAAGATTTTTCAATATTAATTAAAATTGATAGTGTTATAAGAAGAACTGAAGTGTTTTTAACATACTAATTTTCTACAATGATTGAAAAAATTTACATTTTAATTTAAAACAAGGAAACTACGAATGTTTTTTTTTTTTTTATTAAAGACCTTAAAATAACCTATCATTCTTCTACTTACTATATCAGAAAAATCTTAATAGATTTTTAGATGTTTGATGAAATATAAAATATACCTAGATTATGTTGATGTGTTTATTTCTGTGTAACAAAAAAAAATCTGAAATATTGTCCCTGTATAATGCATATCGGCTCTTATATAAAAAATAATTCTGTCATAAAATTTTGATAGGTACCTTTTTTTAATTTCAAATGAAAATAGAACTCTAATAACCTGTAGTCAGTAAATTTTCTTTCAGTTTTCGTATACGTGCTATTTCACACACTGCTTCATTGCTACTATTTGATGAAGTTGATTTTCTTGGACTTGGAAGTTTTATTTGACGGGCTTGACGAATCAGTATCAAGGCTTTCTCCATGCAACCCTCAGCGAATCGCAGTGCAACTAACGCTTAATAAAAGAATGAAGAGGATTGTCAATTGGCATACTTCAGTTTTAAGGTACGACTACCGAAACTGTTTCATCATACTTTCTTGTTAATCACCCATTATCGCAGGTGTAATTGGACGAGATTTTATTTTTCTTTTATTATGGGTATAATAATATTCTCTCTATTATTTTTTATAAAAAAAGGGTGACATACAAGTATACAGACCACCTGATCATTGGTGATGTCGTAGCATATAGACACCTAAGTCTGTCCTCGATAAAGCATCAAAATGTACCTATATGCATTGTCATCCTTGAATGCTAAAACCGCCACGTGGGAATAGTAGCGTTGGTATGGCGATGCGCCACAAACCCTATCCTCCGCGAATCTGTCAGATTTTTATTATTTCGTAGGAATGGGGAGTGCCAGTATTACAATGTACAATGTGTCGATCTGCCAGTTCCCACTCTCCGTGGCCGTAACGCATATGGGTATGCGTTGTCAATATTCAATGAAAAAAAGCATGGTAGAAGCAGCACCATTTTTCAAGCCATTGCCATGGGATCTTCCTTCTGTTTCCCATAAGACAACACCCTCAGTCAACGAGTTTTTGTGCAAGTAAAGATAACCCACAAGAATACATTCCGTTTGATTGTAAATGGAGGTTGTGGCCCATAAGCACCTACGTCTACTATCAATTAAGAATCAAAATGCCAACACATTGTCACATGCGAGGGCTAAAATCACTCGTATTTTGAATGTGTCAATGTCACATATTTGAGTTGCAGCGTGCGTGACTCTACCATCTAGAAACTTTCATGATATATTCTAGATGTAAGTTTACTAGCTACGTATGACTACTACACAAATCTCTCAATATAAATAAAAGTTAACGAAATGTCTTGTTTGTAGCTCAAGGCACTCGTTCGAATTGACGTACATACTCGGCCTCGTCGTCAGCCTGTAACAATCCATTGCTGGACATGGGCCTGTTGGCCCTTAGCTGACCAAAAGGTAGTATCAGATATCTTACAAACTTGAGTATAAATATTTGGGTGTCAAAACAAAAATAGTAAAACTTGAGGACATACCAATATTGTTAACATCTTTGCGTAACCAGGATTCACTTCATTTTCTTTTTCATTTGATTTCACCTTGACACTACCCCGTTGCCGGTATATTTATTTATTTTATGGACAACGAAACAGATAACAATCAAAATACGTTAAAATATAAGCTAGTATATATATATATATATATATATATATACAGGCTGTCCCAGTAATGGTGGATAATCTGGTACGTACGTGTTCGGGCGGGGGTGAGGTGACCTCGGTTCCTTAAAAAAAATTCTATCCCGTACGGTTCGCGGTCTACGCCAAGTTTTATAAAATTTCGAAAATTCGTACTTCTGATCACATTTGTGGTCATCACGTCCGCAGTTTAATGCCTAGATCGGATTTTTTTCTTTTAATGTGTTCCCTAATAATGATGTTTCTAAATTATCCTTAAAAGTTTTTAACTACTATGGGTAGTATTTTACAAGACGGCACTAAACATACTTTTAAATTTTTACTTTATTTAACTGCTAAGTTTGAGCGCCTGTGGTGAAAAAAAAAACGTATAGGATCTGTGTGGCCAACCATTTAAAAAGTTTGCCTATATCATAAGTATTCTAAAACATTATCATACCATGTAATTAATGTCATTACTTACTGAGCTATAGCCGTTAATGTGTAAAAGTAGGCATTTCATTACAAAATTACAAAATTATTGACAGAAAGTTTTTTTAAACATTGCATGTCTTTATTAGGTAAGTACATTTGTCGCTTTTGAAATTTTACTTTACTACCTGCTCGCCTTGTTTGTACGAATTCTAAGCTGTGTGAGCGAGACAACAAAAAAATCTAATGGGTTAATATCAGGTGATCTTGGTGGCCACAATATCGGTTCCATTCGGCCGATCCACCGGTCACGGTTGGCTTCGTTTAAGTAACTCCTTACTTGGAAGGCGTAATGTTACGGACAACCATTATTTTGGAGCCACATTCTTCGCCGGATGGCTAGTAGCTCATCTTCTAATAAATGGGGCAGCTCATTTTGCATAAATTCTAAATAATTGGCTCCATTTAGTTTACCCGTTTTGTTCGCTGCAAACTGTGCAGATTATGCAAGTTAAGGTATTCGTCTCTTTTACACGTTGACTCGTCACCCCACAAATATTTTCTAAAAACCCGGAATCTTCATCCATTCGCCTCAGCATTTCTCTGCAAAAAGTAACTCGTGCTCGGTAGTTACGTTTTTGAAGAGTTTGCACACGTGTAACATGATAAGGGTGGAGTCTCCATTTTTTGACAATCGGATGTGCTGTAGAGTGCGATACTCCAATGCGTTTTCGATATCTCGCATCGAAACAGACGAATCTTTTCTGCCGATTCTCAAAAAGGAGACGGTACTCAATTCGACTGCACGTGCAATGTCGAGAAGGTAGAGATACGCACTAACCATATTTAACAATAACCAAACACGAATTCCAAACACGAATTTATACAATGGAGAATCTGTCGATCCTTTTTACTCACATTAATCCTGAGCACCGTTTGTCTCGCTCACACAGCTTAGAATTCATCCAAACAAAATTTATTGAAAATTTTGAAATTGATTTATTGAAATTTTGAAAATTTTACTTTACTCCCTGCTCGCCTAGCAGGGAGTAAAGTAAAATTTTCAAGGGCGACAAATGTACTTACCTAATAAAGACATGCAATGTTTAAAAAAAAACTTTCTGCCAATAATTTTGTAATTTTGTAATGAAATGCCTACTTTCACACATTAACAGCTATAGCTCAGTAAGTAATGACATTAAGTACATGGTATGCTACTGTTTTAGAATCCTTATGATATAGGAAATCTTTTTAACTGTTTGACCACACAGATCCTATACGTTTTTTTCACCACAGGTGCTCAAACTTAGCAGTTAAATAAAGTAAAAAAATTAAACTTATGTTTCGTGCCGTCTTGTAAAATACTACCCATAGTAGTTGAAAACTTTTAAGGGTAATTTAGAAACATCATTGTTAGGGAACACATTAAAAGAAAAAAATCCGATCTAGGCATTAAACTGCGGACGTGATGACCACAAATGTGATCAGAGGTACGAATTTTCGGAATTTTATAAAACATGACGTAGACCGCGAACCGTTCGGGATAGAGTTTTTTTTTTAGAGAACCGAGGCCACCTCACCACCGCCTAAACACGTACGTACCAGATTATCCACCATTACTGGGACAACCTGTATATATATATATATATATATATATATATATATGTATATATATATATATATATATATGTATATATATATATATATATATATACCAGGCAGACGCATATATATGGCCAGGCAGACGTTGTTCTGCCCTTTTCGACGACCCTTCGTATAAAAAATCCTTACATTCGTAATAAAAAAATATTGAGCGTCACTTATCAGGATAAAAACTGTCCTATCTCTCAAGTTGGACGAAACTGCACAGAGTGTGCAAAATTTCATTGAAATCAGTCCAGTAGTTTAGGAGTTCATCGTGGACAAACAATGTGACACATCATTTTTATATATAAAGATAATAGTTTTGTGCCAGATTGTTATCCTAAATATGTTGACACATTAATTTTATATTCAATACAGGAGATCAACACTACGCTTTGCAATGTTTATGACATACATAACTACATTATACAAAAACTAAAAATATACAAATAAGAAATTTAAAACCTATGTGATATGGGAATGAGTGTGCTTAACTGTTTTACTGCTCTTTTGAATATCCTGGATCTTGGGTCAAAAACATCCAAGCCGGAGCTTTTCATGGATATCTCGTTGTAAAGTCGACACATTCTTACTATCGGGTTATAAAAGGAAGTATTATTCTTATAAGTTTGCAGGTAAAATGTCTTCAAATTCGGCGATTGCGCTTTGTAGTTCAGTTTAATTTACTTAATAGGTAATCGAAATCAAGCTTATTATGGAGAATTTTATGTAAATATATAAGGTCATATTCCTTAAGGCGAATAAGAAAGGAGGTCACTTTAAATTTGTCGAGTAATTCACTATAACTAACTAGATTATGAGCAAAACCACATTAATAGCTAAGTATTGGAAGAGTTCTTTTTTGGGCGCTTTCTATATTATCTGAATTGACCGTGTAGCAGGGAGACCAAATGACACAAGCATATTCAAGAATGCTACGGACAAGACTATAATAAACGGTCAGGAAGCTTTGAGGTCCTTAGTACATCTCGTTATGAAACCTAGTAGTAACTGGAATGCTTTGTTTTTAATGTTTTTTTATAGGAGAGGGGCAAACGACTATGCGACTCACCTGATGGTAAGTGACTACCGCCGCCCATGAACAACTGCAACACCAGGAGAACCAGGGGAATTGCAAATGCGTTGCCGGCCTTTTAAAAAGGAGTAGGCTCTTTTCTTGAAGGTTCCTAAGTCGTATCAGTTCGGCAAAATCGTTGATGGTAATCGATTCCATAAGGAAGTTGTGCGAGGAAGAAAACAACTTCTAAATTGCACAGTGGTGAACCGCCAATAATCCAGATGGTGTGGATGGTATCGGGAGTTCTGCCGCGATGTGCGTTCGTAAAATTTGGCGGCTGGGATTAATCCGAAATCTCTTCGCAGTGCCAATGAATCGAGCCGATCGGAAAGGACTCGTTCGTCGACGATTCGAGCCGCTCTGCGCTGCATTTGGTCAAGTGGAAGAAGCTGGTACTGGAGAGCCCCTGCCCAGAGGTGGGAACAGTATTCCATGTGAGGCCGAACCTGCGCTTTGTAAAGTTGCAGGCGGTGTGCCGGCATGAAATACTGTCCCACTCTGCTGAATACTCCAAGCTTTTTAGAGGCCAATTTGGCCTTCTCTTCCAAGTGACCACGAAAGTGGCACATCACTCAATATGTCGACGTCGAGGATTCCGATACTGGCTGAGGCAACAAGGGGAGTGCCTTAAAACTGAGGAGATACGACAAAGGGGTTATTTTTAGCGGTAAACGCGCCAACTTGTGTCTTATGAGGATTAAACTGGGCTAGATTTAGTGTCCCCAATCCGAGACTTTGTTCAGCAAAGACTCGACTTCAGACACAAGTTTGTACTGGTACTAGGGAGCGTTTTCCCGAGAAATATTGGCACGGCCGGTGTATAGAGCTTCACCAGTGCTGTCATCCGCTAAGCAATGAATGTTACCAGTTTGCAACATATCATTGACATGCAGTGTTGCCAGTGATGATATACGGAACTGAGACGTGGTCCTTCACTGCTGGCCGGATGAGGAAGCTCAAGGTCGCTCAGCGAGCTATGGAGAGGGCTATGCTCGGAGTTTCTCTGCGTGATAAACTCAGAAATGAGGATATCCGCAGTAGAACCATAGTGACCGACATAGCCCAATGGATTAGTAAGCTGAAGTGGCAATGGGCCGGCCATATAGCTCGAAGAACCGACAACCGATGGGGAAGAAAGGTTCTCGAGTAGCAGCCTCCTACCGGCAGGCGAAGTGTAGGGCGTCCCCCCACTAGATGGAGTGACGACCTGGTAAGATATGCAGGAAGTCGATGGATGCAGGTGGCTCAGGACCGTGCTTTGTGGCATTCTTTGGGGAAGGCCTATGTTCAGCAGTGGACTTGTGAAGGGCTGTAATGATGATAATGACGATGATTCACATGCAGAAGAAACAGCGTTGGTGATAGCACACACAATAGTGGAACACCAGCGTTAATAGGCTTGTAGTCGGAGCATGCACCGTCTACATCGACCTTAATACACCGATTTGCAAGGAAGCTGCTGATCCAATTGCACAATTTCTCGGGAAGCCCATAGGAAGGGAGCTTCGAAAGAAGCGTTTTGTGCCAAAACAGATCGAAGGCCTTCGTAATGTCCAAAATAACGGCCAACGCCTCCCCTTTGTACTCTACTGCTTCGCCCATCTATGAGTCAGGTAGAACAGAAAATCACTAGTTGATCGACCCCGACGAAAATCGTATTGGCGGTCACTAATCAGCTGGCGATCCTCAAAGTACCACATGAGCTGGCAGTTTATAGTGGATTCCATTATTTTGGGGAACAAGGAGGTGAAGGCGATAGGCCCAAATACAGGCCGCAGTCGCGTTTTGGGCGGTCGCCTTTTTTAGGGATCGGGTGGACAATAGCTGTATTCCATGATTTCGGGACTACGCCTAGGGAGTAGGAGTACCAGAAAAGACGCGTTAGAACCGGTGCCAACTCCGGAGCACACGTCCTCAACACAATTGGGGGGATTCCGTCAGGCCCACTCGACTTGTGGATGTCCAGGGAGAAGAGTGCTTTGCGAACCGAGCGTCCGGCATATAGCTCTCACACCGCGGGATGGTCGGCGGTGTGTTCCATCCGCCATCAAGTGTCGAGTTGGACGCAAAAAGGGAGCCTAAAAGGTCGGCTTTCTCTTTTGTGGCGTGGGCCAGTGAGTCGTCCTTCCTGTGCAGAGATGGTAGTGATGGCTTACAGAAATTCCCTTGGACAGCCTTGGCGAGCGACCAGAATGCACGGAAAGGAATGCAAGCACCCCTGCTTACTGCGTAATGCAATCTTACAGGAGCGACCATCGAGCATCGAGCATCGACAGAAACCTGATATCCGTCCGGATGAGAGGTCAGCAGAAGGTACAACAGGGAAGGTGTATGATCCTCCACATCTGGAATCCGCGTAGCTGAAGTAACCAGTTGTGTCAGACCATATGCAAAGGCAAAGTCATAAACAGATCTCCCCGCATGATCGGTTAAACGTAAACCGAGTCATTCGGCGTGGGTGGCGTTAAAATCGCCGAGTATCACGATCTCTGCGGATGGGACCTGTTGTAGCAAGGAATCTGTAGTCATTTGAACGTGGTCGATGAGACGATCTGTTTCGGAATTACCGATATAGGAGCTATAGAGGCACCCAAAGGATGGACTGGTCCGAAACTTCAAGACTGCCGAGGCGTCGAGAACAGATGTCTCTGACATACGTAATTTTTGTATTCTAACAAATTAGTCACTGTTGATCTGCCTCTCACAAAACCGTGCTGCTTGTTGGATATAAGTGGCTTAATGATTGATGATGATGCTCAGTAGTTGTTACGAGCACTTTCTCTATTGTTGATAAAACGAGATCAAGGAGATTGTTAATCTCATCATGCACTGAATTGAGTTGAACTAAGTTACAAATATTCATAATATCGACAAGACAATTAGATTTAAAGGCGGATGAATTAATTCCCTTCAAAGAGGTGTATTATATGCTAGTAGGCACAAGACAAGCGCTGCAGATTTTGGCATCGGTCTGTAAGTTACTACTGGAATTAGCGCTTAAGCGGCGTTGTTGTAATTCAGCGGTCGAGCCGTGGGTTGTTGTATGTCATGGATAAACCCGATAACGTAGATATCAACTAAATATTTAAGAAAATCCTCTTGTTATGTCAATTATATTATTAATTTACTATCACAGAACCATAAAGCACACTACACTGGTAATAAATTTAATAAGTTATTCACTACTGTACGGCACTTTTGTTATTGATTAAAACTCGAAGAGCAGATCGTTACTGTGTCAACGTAACGGTAATGTGCTGGTCTGAATATTATGCATGTATTATACTTTATATTATATTAGAGGTTATCCGTGTAGTAGCGATGTAAGAATATCCACTATCCCGATATCAAGAAGCTGATACAGATGACGGGCAGTAGCATTTTCCTGACAACAACTCAAATTATAAGAAAATTGTGGTTGACAACCCGCCTTACATGCGTGGCAACTATGGCAATATCCTCCACTATGAGGCAATCTATGAGGAGGTTTATATTCAGCAGTGGACATTTATAGGCTGTAATGGATGGTTGGATGGATGGATATAAGAAAAAGTATTTTATCATAAATTGAAAACTGTGTGGTTTTTGCTAAAGTCGATGGAAATTTTCTTTTAATTTAAAATTCCAAGTCAAACTGTAGTTTAACCTTTTCCCTATCCTATGAATCACCATATGAAAATTTCTATTGTTTAAATATTGTGTCTGTTCCGCGGACAGGGAAACTGTTAATAACTACACTAATGTAGTGTAGTAGTGTAATCAGTTTAAAGTGGCCAGTTCAACAAAATGGCTATTTGTTGAATGGTGGCAAAGGTGAAATCTAATATTTTCATCTGATACAAAGATGTAAAAAGGTCTATATACATCCCACCGCTGGGCACAGACCTCTTATATTTGAGAGCGTTATAAAAGCAATTTGTCCTCCGCGCTTCTAATATTGCTAATGTTTTTTTTTAATTCTTAAACGTGCACACCTTACACATGCACATCTTATCCTCACGATGTTTTCCATCAAGTCAGCCATTCGTATGATGGATTATCTTAAGACACCACCACACGGCAAACCTGTATATATGATGAAATATGAAAGTTGAATAAAAAAGGGAATCAGATGATCATCCGTAACTATAAACGCATTTTATTCTAATGATTCGTCCAGATATGCTGAAGCTAAGTCTAGGTCGGGTAGGCCCTTGCACTTCATAACCCAGCGTGGTGAGTAAGGGCTAATCTTTTAAGTTTTAAAAGAAAAAGTCTATGGCTAGCCGTGAACTTAAAACGTCCGATTTATTATTAGCAGGGATTGAATACCGGTACCAATTTCGGTTCTACGAGTAGTTCTTCATTTAGGTTCTAATAATGGTTCCTCTTTTCGGTACGGTTCCAGTTACGGTATCGTTTTCGGTTTGGGTTCCGGTGTACCGGTTCTAAATACCGGTTCCGAGAACCTTTAATCAAATTTCTCCATATCCGTAGATTGGTATAAAAAATTCCGTAGAATTCCGTATATGCTATTTGAAAATATCCATTCCGTTGAGGATCGAAAATTTTAGTTTTTGTCATAGAATAGATTAATTTTTTGGGAAAAATTATTTCTGTCATGGAAAATTCTTGTTGTAAGTTTAATTGTAGTATAACATCGAATCAAACTGCACATATTAGAAACAAGTACCATAAAAAATTGATTAAAATTGACTGTTTTTGTTAAATAAATCATTTTTAGTAAAAATAAATAAAATAACTATACACGTTTTAATATTTGTGGATAGTTATACTAAAAAAAATACGTTGCAAACTTGATTATCACGACTTATTAACATAGATTAGAGTTTATTTGATATATTACGGTGCTTCAGACTCGGGACATTTATGTACATGTAACAATGAAAAACTATACAACTAAAAACTTTGAGAAATCCGAAAAAAAAGAAAAGAGAAAGACTTATTGGGCAGAATTTTTTTAATAATTGTAAAAACAATTAGGACAGCATGGATTAGAAAATTTTGAGACATAAGTGATAATTCAATCATCTATAAAAGAAATTATAAGCGCTTATATTAACTACCTATTTTCCAAGAAGTGTTCTAAATTCGAAATAAACGTAATTTAATGCAAAATATCTGAGCTATTAAAATTTGAAATCGATTAACCTCACATAAGTTTGATATTTGTGAGCAAAAATGGTTTTATTTTAATACAGATAGCATAGAATTATAAAATATATTAAAATATATAATAATTATTAAATATAATTTAATACAGACAATATAGAAGAAGAAAGATGATGAGATGATAAAAACAATTCTTGTTAAGTTTATAAAAATTCCGTAGATTGCGACCTCGGATTCCGTAGTTCCGTAGATGATGACAAAATTCCGTAGATCTACGGAAAAATCCGTAGAGTTAGCAATTCTGCGTTGATATGCAACAGAAGATCCACCAATACAAAAGTGATGGTTTACAAACTCCCCTCTCCTCTACCCGACCGCACCTCAAAAAAGTTTAAAAAAAGGAACCGGTAAAATAAAGGTTCTTAAAGGATATTATTTAGGTTCTGGTTCCAGTTCCGGTATAGATACCGAAACCCCTAAATACCGGTCCTATACTGGTATTTGGAACCGTTTTCAATCCCTGATTATTAGAAATATAAAACGTTTTTATTTATCCGCAGATCCGTGGAGCTAATCTCATCCATTTACGGACCTCCATTGGTGTTTCAAGTTATGTTTAGCTCAATCATTATATGTTTAATAGCCTACCAAATTGCGGATGTAAGTATTTGAATACTTTATCATCATACCAACCAATTTAACGAGCAATTTCTTCATTTGCTCAATAAATTTCGTTGAGATAAGCTCGTTGTCGTCATGTTAGATATAGAAATATGATCTCAGAATACGTGTATTATGGTCGTGGACCAATCTATGGAGATAATAAGTTAATTGCCAAGTAAGGAGATCGATTCCTTTGTCATATGTCGGAGGCTATGGCGAAGGAACGACTCGTCTACTTGATTGGATATTTGTACCATTTTCAATGGGAGCTTAAAATAATAGGAAATCACACATAGCTCTTTAGAAAACTAAACTGTAGAAAGATTTGTTTGTTGTATTGACAAAGTATATGACGGCTCCGTGGCGCAGTGGCTTAGCAATGAGTTGCTGCGCTGAGGGGCGTGGGTTCGAATCCCGCACGGAACAAGTATTTATATGGCCTACAAATGATTGTTCCGGGTCTGGATGTTTGTCCTTGTGAAATTTGTGTTTGTAAACTGCCTCCACGATACAGGAGAAAATCATATTGTTGGGATAGCGTTAAAATAAAAGTATACGTAATGTAAAATGTGGCGGTGTAAGAGTATCCACTACCTCATATCATCGCGCGGTTGTCGTAAGAGGCGATAAATGGAAACAGCAGCAGGATTTGAGCAGCATCGTCTTCATCATAACAACTTACTATAATAATCGATAGTCCGTTTGTTTGTTATGTTGACAAAGTATAGCTAATGTAAAATGTGGCGGTGTAAGAGTATCCACTACCTCATATCATCGCGCGGTTGTCGTAAGCGGCGATAAATGGAAACAGCAGCAGGATTTGAGCAACATCGTCTTCATCATAATAACTTACTATAATAATCAATAGTCCATTTGCTAACCCGCTTGCCAAGCGTGGCAACTATGGCACGATCCGGCGAGAAACGTTGTGGCGGCGCTGTCGTCGCGCCACAAGCGAAACACATCGAAGCCTAAATCGCACTAACAAAGTTCCGAAGTTAAAGCAGCATATATAGATAGCTCCGAACTACCAATTGGAGCGTTGGCCGCTCCACGGGCAGAACACCTTGCCCGGCGGGAGATCTCCCCTTTTCCTTCTACCCGCCACAAACGTTATGGAGGAGACCTATGTTCAGTGAAGTACGTGAAGGTATTTACATATTATCACGGAAAAGGACATACCTAGTATATTTTTCATAACGCTATAAAACTCGTGTGGTCTCCCGTGGGGTTTCATAGAGGTCAACAAAAATTATCAATTGTTTTTTTATAATAACCAATGTTATCTTGTTTTTAAATATGACTTTATCTTAATTATTGTTTTTTTTTCTTATGGGATTCTTTATTCAGTTGCAACGCTTGGCAGGCGGGTTAGCAAAGGTGCGTTTTTTTATTATTATTTTAAAATTGTTATCAGGAGACACTGCTGCCCAACACCTGTTTCAGTTTCCCTCTGTCGTCCTTCACAAGTCATTCGTAACAACTTTCCAAAGTTCACTGCTAAACATAGGCCTACCCGATAGAGAGCCTTATTAGCCATAGTTGCCACGCTCTGCAGGCGGGTTGAAAACCGCAGTATTTTAATTGCCAGCTATTAATAGGAAGACGCTAGTGCGCATCCTCTGGTTTGTTTCCCTTAAACCAGAAGACTACCCTATGGGGTGGGTGGATTTCCTACGCCGCCATTATAATATAATGTGACCAAAACAATGAGAACATCGGTTAATTTATTACGAACTTTTTATTTTGTTTGCTCACAGTATTTGGATCATGGGAAGATTCATTTTCTCTTCGTATTGCTGTTCTTTGTCGCATGCATACAGTTATGGATACCATGCTATTTGGGAACATTACTGAGGAATCAGGTAAGGAAAGTAATGATTAATTTGCATTTTCTCCTTACTACGTCACAACGGACTTTCCGTGGTAAAGGATGTTAATAAATAGTACAAAAATACATTGTGAAATGGTAAGTTACTTAGGTAAAGTACCTATGCTGACTATAATCGACCATATTATCAACTATGTGAGTGCTGTAATGCCCAACGCATGCAATTTGCATTTCTTCATTCATTTCTGCATTCATTCGTCGGGAATCGCGATGCCCGACGAATGGCCTTTCGTATAGGTAGATAGCGCAAACAACAAATAATCCAGAAATACGATTCCTAACAGAAATATTATCGTAATCTACTTAGTTGAAAATCTTGTAAACAAAGTTTTCATTCCTGTATTTTATGCTATTATAACTTCAAATATTTTAATTACAGTAGGTACTTGGGTAGTGAAGTAAATTTCAACTAAGTTTTGTAATAAAGTACTTAGGTATTACTTCTGTAGTTAAATTATTACTTAATTATTATTTCGCTATAAGTACATATCTAACAAAAAAAATTATATAAATTTACCTTTAATTATCCTTCGGTAACTCAAAAGATCATATTTCTGAATCCGTTTAATTGCTCATTAAGCATCCATCCCCGCAACAATTATAGTAGGAACGACGTTTTGCCATTATAATTTATCAAATAGATAGGTAATATACATACTTATATATTATTCTTAAATTACATTAAAACTTTTTCAACTATTTTATCCCAAAATTAAATATACTAAACACTACACAAAAACTATTTCGATGAGTATTTCAAGAAGTATTTACAAAAAAATATTTACTTAAACAGCGTTAAAAAACTTTAACATTCAGTCGTATAAAGCGCGCTAGTCCCGACTGCGATCTACCCCTGGGGCAACTTTCGATTGTAGGTAATTATTTCACGCAGGTAGCAAGAGCAACAGAGGCTTGCTGAGGCTGAAAGTCCTTCCTGAGTATGTTACACGTTTTCTGTGTTTGCGTTTCTTGCTGATGCTTTTAATAAAAGCGTATTACAATTGTTAGTAAAATGTAAAACATGGTGGTTATGACACGTTCTAACAAAAGGGGAGACTCGGGTCCAACAAGACTACGGACTGATTTACCGACATTGGGCAGTTTCAATTATGAACCTCATTGTGGAGCCAAGCACTATAATGGACACGAAGTTTTCATAAACACATAAAAGCTTTTATTTTCCCAGGCATTTGAAATCGGAGAGGCGTGTTGGCGTAGTGGTTGGCATGAAACACCTTTAGTACAACTTCTGCGTTCGGACATCATAATATTGATCCTTCGAGCTCAGCAGCCAGTCAGCATTAAATTTTTTGGACTGCCCAAATTGGAACTGGAGACGTTTTCTTCGGTAAAATTTTACACAAATAAAATACAGAAAATTAAGAAATAGTATTGAATAAAAAAAATATCTTAAAATAAGTTCTCACAGGTGTTCGCTTATTGCTGCCAAATCTAAGCTAAACATTATCTAGGGCTGTCTAGGAAAGATGCCATAAGATATTAAATCCGTCCTTTATATCTCATAATATAGTAAACATTAAAAAATAATGTAATTTCTTAGATGTATAATCGTCAGAAATTTTTCGTAACCAGCTATTGGAATTTAAAATAAGGACTTAAAATAGCAATGAAAATTTACTGATTACCTCTTAATTCTTGTATAGCAATACGAGAATTAAGAGGCTACCACGAGATTTTTTTTACTCAAGCTTTGAACACACTATACTTAAACTTCCGTAAAGCATACATGGTTATTTTGCAATATACGTCCAAATTTGCAGAGAAGGTTAAGAATAAGTAATATAGGCGAATGGTGAAAAATTAATTTATAAAAATCTTAAACATTCTGTTCTTTTTAGCTTTTAAATTCAGAATGCGTGGTAATGTAGTATTTTAACTGATTGTCATACATAAATATCTACCGCCTACTATTTTACGCACGCATACATTCGTAAGAGTAAGGTACTTTGTCACGCGTCTTCCCTTCCGCTTACTGTTACACCGCTACGTACCTAAATCCGCTCGCTAGGCCGACAGCTGGCTGACAGTGTTTACCGTGACCTCTTTACGTACGCTTCATTACCAATGACGGAACGAAAATATTCGAACCACGGATACTATAAAACTATGAAATAGTGCCATATTACATTTTAATCAATGAAAGTTTAGGTGGTGCGCAAAGATTATACGAAAGTGAGTCTTTACCGCGGCAAGAAATTAACGTATGTGTACCTACCAATCAAAGTATAATTGTCAGATAATCAAACTATTCAAGCGCAATGAGCGATAACATAAATAGTGAATATGATGATTGGTGGATTGCGCACGGAGGCCCTATACTATGGTCTGCAAACTCGCCGGAACTTTTATCTGTAAGGTGAAATAAAGAGTTGTAATTACGTCAAAGAGGCGCAAAGTTATGAAGGCCGCCATAGTAAAATTTTTGCTGCGTTCACGGAAGTTAAAAGTGCTCAAGCACAGGTAATAACTGTAATTAGTAATTTAATATAACGTGCTGTCTGTGAATAGAGAATTTGGCGATACGACCCTAGCTGTTCGGCCGTCCGGCAATATTCGAAAGCTCTTGGCTGCGCTGGAAAAACCAGCTCGGCTTTCCCTACCTTGCCAGTCGATCCGACCGTCCGACGTCGTGAAGCCGCTCATTCGCGCTCCGATCCGCTACTTTGAATTTATGTTACGAATAAATGGTTATTTAATATGTGGTGATTTCGTTATACACATCCCCACAAGAGAAATGGATTCTGCTTTGAGGTACCAATATTAGATATTGGGACTACTTGCATAATTTAGTTATAAATGGTTCATAATTTTTTTTTATACGCTATAATAATGACAGTCGTCGGTAACATCGTTGATAAGAAAAACAACACCATGCCCTTTGATATAGCTTGCGCCTTACAGGCCACGAGCCCTGAGTCAGACGAAGCCGTAAAAGCCAAAGACATTATATTAACACAAATATCTCAGAAAGAAGATGAGTCACCTCCCGATACCTATGGAACGAATTGGAGTGATGTCTTCTTTTACGCCATCATAACACGGTACTTTAAATACAATATTTCACTACATGATTCGTTGTTTGTTTCGGTTACAGATTATTAGCACATCTTATTCGTACTTCAATATCCTGCGGCAGTATTAAATTTGGAGTATCACGCTATTCAATATATTATGTACCTTTACTCACGGACACGAGACAAGCAATGATTTAGATATTAGAAAAACACAACAACTTAACATATTTTTTTCCTCACAAATTCAATTATTTTTGTAGTATTAAATAATTTATAATCCTAACTGTGTTTAATTATTGATCGGAACCTAACTATTATTTATTTAATAACTACAACAACTGTAGCACGACCGTCATAGGTGTCTGCCAATGTTATTTTTCGGTAACTTTTATTAAATATTTCAAGATGTCAAAGCGGCAGACTTTTGCTATCACGTTTTTTTATATTACGGTTGGTCGAACTGTATTTGCTCTATACAGAATATGTAGTGCACTGTCTTATTCCTGATAATGATCAATTGCGTAAGCAAGAGAGCAAGTTGGACATCCGCTCTCACACTTTTATTATTTTTAACAATTAACCTTCAGAGTAAATTTTAATACGAGTAACATTCTTTTATTTAAATAATTTTAAGAATGATTTCTAACATCAGAAGTGGAGTAATTTCTAAAATCAGAAGTGGGCTTAAATCCTTTTCCTGTAGCTTTACATTGAAATTTCTTACAATATATATATAGGGTATTTTTGGAATGCTCCCGAAAACTAAGACAGACGACAGTACGAAGTACATCTTTGATGATGGGCGGAATATAAAATCGATCCTGATGAATGAAAAATCATTTTTTCACAACGTTTTATTAGCATTATTCGTTCTCTATCGTATTAGTACAGCTAAATGAAACGATAATTTCATTAAAAAAAACATAAAACATAAAACCAGCAGTGGAATTACGCAACTAGCTGGCCATACCACAATACCTAATAATTTACAACACTTGTCTAAATACGAGTACCTAACTTATCTACTTAACCTACTATTTTGCCACTGTACTTGTCTCCACGTAGCCACTTTAATCCGAATTTATACTTATACTTATCTTCACGCAAAATCCCTGACAGGGTAGCCAGAGAGAACAGATCGCCAAGTGTCACGATCCTTACATACCTCTTTCGCTTCTTTCAGATTCATTATCTTCTTAATACATGCACGTCTAGGTATCCGAGTACTCTTATAAAAAATGTTGAGGATGAGCAGGGAAACTCCTTGATTCGATTTTGGTATCGTTTATTCTGCTGTCCATAGACGAATACCCGTCAAATCTAGAACACTGTTTTTTCCATACATACAATAATAGATGCCCTCTAGTGGCAACAAGTTAAACTAGGTACTTACATTACAGTTGTCAGTAAAGCGCCATCTGTTCGAAACGAGTGGGACCACAAGAAAGAGCCACTTGGTTCGTACAGATGTGTAATAAGGAAATATGTTGTTAGTAGTTGGTTTCAGCCTCCAACAGATGGAACCACCAACTACTAACATTCTGCCAGCCAGCATAAATCTAACTCAAGTAAGCTGATACATTATTTATGTTATGAACAAGCTAAATGGCGGCATGTTAGGCTAAAAGGTAAACTAACTTTAACCCATTAGAGGCCAAACCCAAAACTATAAACAACAATCGCGGACTTGAACCGCGAATCAAACCAGAGCAGAAATAAATAAGGAAAAGAAACCAGATAGGTAAACGTTTGCCAAAGCTACATTATTGATTAAATTTAACAAAAATGTAATGCGACTGCTAATGGGTTAAGCTTAGATTGGACAGAATAAAACAATTAAAAAATACAGAAATCTAAAACGCTAGGTAGTTAGGCTAATTAATTTACTTAACATCAAATTCAACTCAAGTTAAATGCCTATCTGAAGTACAAGGTATCTTTTTATTAACATTATACTTAATCTATATTAATTGGTAGTGGACATAGATGAACATATGATCTTTTTATTTCGCCTTTGGAAGTTAACACTGTCGCGACTCTAGCAACACTATCACGTCCGTCATGGGTTTGTATGATTCGTCCCAGCTTCCACTGGCAGGGAGGGAGACGGTCATCCTTCACCACCACCATCGTGTCCACGGAGAGAGCTGGGCCCTTCGAGCTCCGCCACTTGGTACGTTGTTGTAGGATCCCGATGTAGTCGCGAGACCATCTTCGCCAGAAGTCCTGTTGAAGCTGCTGTAGCTGCTGGAACAGCGTGAGCCTGTGGGCGGGAACATCCTTGTACTCATAGTCGGGAACGGTGGTTATAGCCCTACCTATCAAGAAGTGAGCTGGTGTTAATGCGGAAAAGTCATTAATATCTGTATTAGACAAGGGACACAATGGTCGTGAATTTAAAATTCCTTCCACCTGTATAAGTACTGTTACAAATTCTTCATAAGTCAGAAGTGCTGCAGCCAAAACTCTTTTTAGAAAATATTTACAACTTTTTACAGCAGCTTCGTATATCCCGCCCATGTGAGGTGTGTAGACCGGTAAAAAGCTCCATTTGATGCCGTCGTTACTAAGTGAGGTCATAATTTCGTCTGAACTGTCACTTAAAAATTGGTAGATTTCATTTATCTGGTTGCTAGCGCCCTGGAATGTGGTACCATTGTCACTTACCATTTGCTGTGGTTTACCTCTACGGGAGACGAACCTTCGGAAGGCAGCTAAAAACGACTGGGTGTCAAGACCTGTAACCAACTCAATATGAATTGCCTTGGTAGCAAAACAAACAAACAATGCGACATACGCCTTGTAAGTCCTGGCCCCACGTCCTCTCCAGGTCTTCAAATTAAATGGCCCTGCATAATCTACCCCTGTTGTTGAAAACGGAAGGGAGGGGGTAACGCGAGATGTGGGCAGTTCACCCATAATTGGGGCGCTAGGCCTGGGCTTGGCCCTAAAGCACGTGACGCATTCGCGTGTCACCTTATTTACTAAACTCTTACCATGGATAGGCCAGTAGCGTTCGCGAATCGATGCCAGAAGTAACTGCGGCCCAGCATGCATGAGCTTTATGTGGTATGACTGAACTATAAGCTTGGTAAGTATGTGTCGGTTATGTAACAATATAGGGTGTTTCTTATCGTGAGAATATGGAGAATTTTCATTGCGTCCAGCCACTCGTAGTAGACCATTTTCCATATAAGGTTTTAGGCATAATATATTTGACGTCTGTGGCAGTGGTTTGTCTTTCTTTAATGTGAGATATTAATTTGGAAAGGATTCGATCTGAGCTAACATGATAAGTTTATCGTGAGATTGTTTCAACTCCTCAACCGAGAGGACACCTAAACATTTGTCCTTGTTTTTTACATTATTTAAGAATCTAAGTACATAGGTAAAAACTCGTAACAACCTTTCATATGTTGAGTATTTTTTAAACAATTTTTCCATGAATGAAAGTGATTGGGGTTCCGTAGTAACACAAGAAATAATATCTACCTTATGTTGGTAATTACATTCATTCTGAGGCGGCCAGTTTTCAATATTAGGTTGTGACAACCACGTAGGGCCTTGCCACCACATGGTTGTCTGTGCTAACTTAGCCGCTGGAACACCCCTAGATAAAAGATCAGCTGGGTTATCAGCGGACGGAACCCAATGCCAGTCGTCCGATTTGGTATAATTTATAATTTCGATTACTCGATTTTTTACAAATGGTATCAATTTGGAAGACGTATTTGTCTTTATCCATGCCAATACAATATTTGAATCGGACCATAAAAACATTTTGGACGATTGAATATCCAAAATATGACGAACCTTGTGCATTAAGTTGGCTAATAAATGAGCTGCTCTCAACTCTAATCTAGGTATAGTTTCATCACGAGCGATTCTCGTTTGCGCGCATAATAAACGTACTAATACGTTACCGTTGGCATCTATAGACCGTAGGTACATAGCTGCCCCGTACGCGGTCATTGAGCTGTCCGCAAAGCCGTGCAGTTCTATCAAAACAGATTCAGGGATGATAACGTGTCTAGGTATCATTAAAGAGTTTACTATAAACAGGCTATTATAGAAATTACGCCATTCTTCCTCTTGAGAAAGAGGTAGTTTCTCATCCCAGCCGATGTTATTTTGCCATAATTTTTTTATGAAACATTTCGCGGTTATTAAAATTGGTGCGATTAAACCCAGTGGATCAAATATTGCAGAGGCAACAGATAGTACCTTCCTTTTGGTTAACGAATGATTAGTCAGTTTGTCAATAAACAAATACGTTATAAAGTCGCTTTGGTTACACCACTGTAGGCCTAAAACCTTATGTGGGTTTTCTGTGTGTAGTTTTGTACTAGTGTGTTGCGAGTCATATGTTTGTGAACTAGTGTGTGTGTCGTCGGTTTTATTAACAATCTTTATAATGGCCTCCGAATTCGATTTCTACTTTCTAAGTTTGAAGTTCGCGGTCCGTAATATTCTGTCGATTTGAATAGCCGTTTCGGCAACCTTCTGAGCGTCATCTCCACTATGAACTAAGTCGTCAATATAGAAGTTGGTTAATATTGCAGTCGCCGCTTCCGGGTACTGTTCCCGAAATTCATGCCCGAGTTGTTGTAGACATCGAGTGGCAAAGTGCGGTGCGCACTTCAAACCGAAACTGAGTGTAGTTAGTGTGTAGGTGTGCAGCGGGTGAGTAGGGTCTTCGCGCCATAAGATACATTGCAGGTTGTGTTGGTTAGGGTTGACAAAAATCATACGATACATTTTTTCGATATCCGCGCAAATAACAAATTTATGTTTTCGAAATCTCAACATAATATTAATTAATTCGTCCTGGTTCATTGCACCTTTATATTGTATGTCGTTAAGGGATCTCCCTGAGCTGGTTTTATGGGATGCATCTATTACGACTCTAAGGAGTGTGGTTTCCTTTTCCAGGTTAACCACAGCATGGTGAGGTAGGTAGTTACAGGGCTCATTTGAGTCTCGTTTAATCATATGCCCTGATTGTTCAAATTCTTGCATAAACTTGACATATTTTTCCTTATAACCTTGGTCGCGAGAAAATTTGGATTCTAACGATTTGAAACGTTTAAATACAGCGGGTTTGGAATGACCTAACAAAGAAATGGGT